TTTATTGATCTAAAAATAGTTATTTGCTTTTGAGAAAATCAAGTTTCAATCTGTTTTACTTTTCGAGAAATTACAGCAATACAGTCAAATACCTAGCTTTTGGTACTACCTGTCCAAAGAAAACCAATTTTTTTTCTCGCTAGCTTTGCAGTCAGAAAAGTAGATCTCGTCAAGAACTTTTAGAATATCTCTTAAGTTTCCACTTCAAACCAAGTTTTATGAATAAAAATTGTCGATAATCGATGGTATGATACTTTGTCTTTTTATGTAGAGCGATATTAAAATCATTCGCATTTCGCGTGAAGAAGTTTTGTTTAAAAAACAGTTAATTGAGTAAGAGAGAGAAATATGAGGACAAGAAGGCATGATTTGAGAAATTAAACAGGCTTATTTCATAAATTTCTTACGTACAAATAATTATACACAACATTAGAAAAAAATGATTTGCATTCTGACTGTAGAGCAACATTTTTAATTTTGTTTTAATTATAACTCAATGAAAGTTAAACCTCAGAAACTCTTGGCTTCTGTCAAATTTTTGGTTAATTCGATAGTCATCTGATAAACGGTGACAAGAGCTAGAAATTCTTTGTTATTGCGATAATTTTGTGAAGCATCCTTTTGATAATCAAGTCAAGTTATCTGTAATTATAAATCATAATAGCTGAAGTGTCTCATGAAATCCTATCTAAGAACATTAAACATATGTGAAACTAGCTATTGATTGATGTATAATTGTAAAAACTGTCTATGGCACAACTAAACATGTTAGGTTCAAAAAAAGACAATCGCCTATTAGAATTAGTTCACAACTGTCAATATCTATTGAGATGCGAACAAGTATCGGAAAAACAGTATTTTCATAGACAGCCGACATAGCGTTATCAAATATGGCACTTAGGTTTTCCTTATTGGAGAAACTTTTTTTTTAATTTTTTTCTCAAATAATACAGTTATAATACTTTTCATTCATATGTACAGCATGTTTGCAATATACGAATCTAGCAACTATCGTCTCCACTATTCATGACAATGTAACATTAAGCCAGCCTACTACAAAGGCATCACAATAACTCATTCCTGATCAGTTAGTAGGCACCATGTACTATCATTGCCCATAAATCGAACCCATCCAGCAACAATACGTAAGTTAAATCAGTAGTGTTAAACATGAAAGTTGAATTCCATTGAACAACTACTATTTAAGTTTCAACTTTCGAATTTCAATCGCCTATGTTTCCGCAGCACCCACATCGAGATAGAGACTGTATTTATTTGAAAGTTTAGACTTGAAACTTGAAACATTTCTTCATTTGAATTCAACTTTCAAGTTTGGCATATAGGAGAATATCTAAGAAGGTTTCTTCGTTAGTGAAGATAAGTGAATTAATAGAGATGACATATTGAAGAATATTCTGAATAAATAAGGTCAACTTAGTAGTGAACTAGTTAGGAAATTAAAATGATGAAAATGTTCTTAATGACAAAGATGTTTGACTAATAATGAAACTCGATAAGATCAACTTCAGTATACAATTTAAACGTAGCCAATAGGTGAAGCAGTACTCCTTTTTTCCTTCGTAATAATTCGTTTTTGCGCGACTATCAAAGCGATGGTAACAAAATTTACTCGAGTAATGAAGGCTTTTTCATAAAATGAATGTCAAGAAGCGACATATAGTACATCAATATTCTTATTGGATGAAAACAGATAACAAATCGATAAAATGACAAATTACACAAAGAAATTATTATTTCTTTTTCGACTAAAATATGGCAGCAAAAGTTGATCAACCTAAAACTCGTATCTTAGTTTTACACGGTTTTTATGATAGTGCAGAAAATCGTCAATATCAAATGCGTTCTTTAATTCGATCAATGAAAGATATTGAATTTGTTTTTATCAATTCACCATTTTCATTTGTTGATTATGAATTCTTAAGATCATCAGATAATTCTTCGAATGAACAACGATATCAATGGATGTCTTATAAACCTGAATATCCAGTTACAAACTATAATTATGATACAATCAAAGAGAGTATTGAATATATAGTTAATTATATTCATAACAATGGTCCGTTCGATGGTTTGTTAGGATTTTCTCAAGGTGCAATTGTTTGTGCTACAATGGTTTTAAATATTCCCAATTGGTCAATTCTTCCTAGTTGTATTAAATTTGTTATTCTTATTGGTTGTCCACCAATCAACGATGAAATAATTAAACCAATATTAGAAACATTCGATAAACAAAATCAATTGCTACCGTCTTTGCATGTTTCAGGAATGAATGATACTTTAATAACAACAGATATGAGTGAAAAAATGTATAAATATTTTAATCCGTTAGTAGCTGAATTTTATTCACATAAAGGAGGACATTATTGTCCAAACGATTCTGATTTTAGACAAAAATTAAGAGATTTTATTCAACGTGCAACTCATTCATAAATATATCATTTAATCATTAATAAAAGTCACGAATTCTATGACAATGTTTTATAAGATACATTTACTATAATATAATCACTCATTGCTTGCGATACGATAATTGTGACAAGTACACTATTCGAATGGAATATCAGTCGAACAAATACTAGACAATAAATCAACAGTTAGTCAAGTTTTGATACAAATACAACTAAGAAGATTTGAACATATGTAATAGCATCCATTTTTTCAAAATTTCTAATTCAATAGTATTGATCTCAAACTCATCTGTGATTTGTACATAGTGAAGAGTAATTGTTTTTTAATATATTGATGAATGTACTAAATTATTTTCATCATCGAAAGTCAAGAACAACAAGCATGTAATGATGCTATTAAGACATCTAATATGAGTACCTTTGTAATTGATTCAAAATTGTCGAAATTTACAAGTAGTTCATATGAATTCAAAGAGCTAGTGTCAGAAAAAAAAAGTGTACACATTACATCTGTTATTATATCAACCATGAAAAAATTTTCTGCCCTAGATAATACAATAACGATGTTTTGATAAAATTTTTAGTTTATCTAATTAAAACTTGAATAAAATCTCATCAATTAAAAGAAAAAAAAATTATCTATATTTTTTTCTACAAACTAATCTATAAAACTTATTTTACGATATAGACTGATTGATAATTGTTCAACTTAGAAGTGACAAAATCGTCTAATTTCGCCTACTTTTTTTTGCAAATAGAAAGACCAAATTAATTTATGTACGTAAATTGTCTTTTGACTCTACGTCAATCTTGTTCGCATAAATAATTGCTTCATTCTGTTTACTAATACTATTTCATGTCAGTTGAAACCCAACATAGAATATCGAAAGTACTATTAGACTGGAATTTGCAAATTTTCGAAACAATTCTAAAATTTTTAGTTATTCATCGTCGCAGAAATATTTACGTATATTATTAAAGCAAAAAAAATTAGTTCTAATTATACATTGTAATGAGGAAACCATTCATCAACGGATTATTATTTGTTATGTAATTAATTTGAAATAAGTTCGATACGATATGTATATTAATCGTTCTTCATTGTCATTCAGGTGATTAACTTATAGTATGATTGTTTTGTTTTTGAAAGATTGGCATTTTGACAAATTTTTTTTTAGCAAAAAAAAAAAAGATTCTTGATATGTCTAATATAGTTAGAAAAATTCCATATAAATGAAGCATTCAAATTCCTATATTTTTCTGTTATGAAGCCAGCTCACAATTGATTGCTAAACAAATATTGAATGGAGTGCACAAAGATGAATTATACAATCAATGAAGTAGCTAGTGGTGATTATTTATTTATTCGATCTCAACCACGTTAATAGACATCGAAATAAACTAAGCCAGTATACATATATA